GCAGATCGTAAAGAAAATCGTACGGCTTGCAGTACAGCCATTTTTTGTACACACGATGCAACACATTATACTGCCGCAGTTCAGATTATTCACTTTTCGTCGAGAAGGGCTACTGTTATGTCGAGAATTTCAAAGAAAAAAGCTGCCGTGCTTGTAGCTGCGGTATTGCTGATAGATGAAGATGATGAACAAAAAGAAATCAGAAAGCGAAAATGGTGTAAAAAGTCCCATAGGCATCTATTTTCTCTATATAAATCAATAAAGTCTTCCCAGAACGTCTTATTTTTTAAATCCATAATATTGATTAAACCAAAAATAAAGAAAAATTATATCTTAACTAGCGTGTACCAGCGACTTCGTTCACGTCGAATTAATCATTTGTAATGGTGATGATAAAGCAAAGCAAGAATTTCCATTAACATACAAACTGGATAAAATGTTCTCACATTTATGTCAGCATGAGAAAAAACAATATGGCGATATTGTTATATAACTTAATATTATTATATATTTTGGTAATATTTGCGGGGTAGTTTCATCTCGTTGGAATTTGAGTTTCGAAAAATCCGTTTGCCAAAAATAAGCTTTTTACGTCAAGCAGTTTAAGCAGAATCGTTGTTAAGAAATTACCCAACTTTTTGGAACACCCTGTATGATTTTTTAAAAAACTTCAAAATATGTAAAAAAAAACAAATAAATTATGCTTGTCCAAGCGTTTTCCCCAAAGCCTAACCGTTTTTTAAATAACAAATATTGTAATATTTGAGGGGCCTTTTCACCCTCTTGGAATTTGAGATTCGAGAAACCCCTCCTTACCAAACCTCTACATCCCACAGTCAATCAGCCCCAAACGTCAAGCAGTTTAAGCAGAATCGTGACTACTCAATGGTCATATTTTATGAAACACCCTGTATAAATTTATAACAAATCTTAAAATATGTAAAACAACAAAATAAAATATACGTGTTTGAGAGTTTTTCCGAAAAATTCACCGGTTTTTATATAAAAATTATTTTAATATTTGAGGGATAGTTTCACCCCCTTAGAATTCTAGTTTCGAAAAATCCCTTCTTATCGAACCTCTACACCCTAGAATCAACCTGTATGCCAAGATTCAGCTTCTTACGTTGAGTGGTTTGAGCAGGATCGTGATTAATCAGTATGTCAGTCACTTAAGGATTTTATATATTAGTATAGACTGCGCGCTGCGGCAGGGAATACACTCCACACGTTCAGAGTTGCGTTCAAACCCCACCCCAGACACGACCCGTTAATACGATATTTTACGGAGGCTCCGTACTGCAAACGATTTGACGACTGCATACTGCAAACCATCCAATTTCCCTACACACGCTACGATTTATCGTTAATGCGGCAATTTCGATGGATATCGTACTGCATGCAGTACGATAAATCGTTACGTGTGTAGGCCGTTCCAGAAATTAAGTGATAACAGTTCAAAAGTAAAATATATCAATTCCAAACAAAATATTAATAAGTGTATGACTATTTTAGTAAATACCATTTTGATTTTTTGTTATTTATCACGACCTACTTATAAGAAAATGATATATTTTAAATATTGCCGTAAATTGTGAAAATAAATATAGAGTGATATATATTTTTGAGAAGCTCATAGCAAGGCGGATCATACGATTTATAAATATACAGGGTGCTCCATTTGAAAAAACATAAGTTTAGTTCATATTTTCAAAAATATCTTTTTTTGTAGAAAATAGACTACGTCGCTGTATTCTACCTAAAAAGTTCTAGAAGAATCAGTTTTTACCTTGTTGACAGCATCTTCCGTTTGACAAAAAAGTGGCACAGGTTTGTGCAAACCGCATCCTCCTATCTTTACTAATAACGGAGATACTGTATGATTTCAACCAAAACGGGACACCCTGTACATCGAACAGTTACGGGCATACATGAATATCAAGGCGGGCTATATTTTATTTTTTCTCTAAAACCGTTCGATGTACAGAAACATTTAGGAGATCCATTTTGTTTAAAAAGGATAGACAATCAAGAAAAAAAAGTTCTCTCGAAATAAGCATTGGGTACCATTAATGTTACAACCAAATTCAAATGAAATAATCTAGGGTGTGAACGTAAGGACAAACTGGTTCAAATAGGTTAATGGAAAGAAACTGCCTTTGTACCTGAACACCACTTGAAAATCAAAACCACCAAAATTGAAAAAGATATCTAAAGTTGTTTTCGACATTTTTTTTTTATTATTAGGTTTTCGTGTATTATAACAAAATATAATAATGTACTGACCCATGTTTTTGCGCTAAGTGAAGGGAACACAAGATGTCACCTTTAACTTGTGTTGCAAAAGCATATATCTGAGTTTAAAGATGGCGAGTTTCAAGCGGGAGCGAAGACAGGCAAGACGGACATATTGCAAGAAATTCTATTTTTTTTTTTTATTTTTCAACACCCAAACCAAAAAGAAGTACCTACTTGAGGTCTAATGTTCTTATAAACTTTTTTTCTTAAAAACATAATTTTAGAGTACTTATGAAAGACCCTATATTCGTTAGTTAGGTACTTCATTGCCACCAGTTCATAGAATATTTTTTAACATATTTGTTGTGTTTTGTGTAACTTGAAATATAGGATTCAAAAATTTGTATATTAATAAAACAGTTACCTTAATCCGCAGTGATCTAAATACTTCCTTTCTATTTGTATTTCATTTTTATAATTAAAACTATTGATTTTTTTAGAGTAATTATTCTATTATTTTATTTTTTTATCCCCTTGCATACACCTGTATTAATATTAGACATACAAAATTACTTGAATACATATTTACTTTCTGAATATAGTCGCCGACGATAAATTACATACAAAGATAATATTAGCCAAGTTAAAAGTCTTTTGTTTAATTGTTTTCCGACTTTGGTGCAACTTTTTGCGGAGTATAGAAATTTGTGTTTCATAATGTTATCCTGAATTCTCAAGAATTACATACAGGGTCGCTTATTAGGTAAAATATACAAGGTACCGCAAAAAGTCAAATACAAAAATTATAGGGTTTTTAAATGTCTATTTGCGAGTAACAAAATTTATGTATACAGGGTCGGTCATAAAGTCGTGGCACCTCAAAGTTTCATTTTTTAAATAGAACCCACTGTATATTATTGCATATTTCAATTCTTCCTTCAATTCTAAGAAAAAATGGAAATAAACACAATGTACCTCAAACCAACCGTTTCCGAGTTATTGACTTTTGAACATATCACTCAAACAATTTGATTTAATTCATTTCGATATGTTTATTTAATGATGCCATTCTGCCGAAATTGTGATATTATTGTAATGGGGTTTTAAATACCTATTAGCTACTAGTAAATTTAAGTATACAGGGTAGGTCATAAACTTGTGGCACATCAAACTTTATATTTTTAAATGAAACCGCCTGTATATTATTGCATATTTCAATTCTTCCTTCAATTTTAAGCAATAATCGTAATACACAATAAACATAAATTGAAGAATTGAAATGTTAAACGAAAATTTTGTAATTTCCAGACTTGATATAATCTCATTTTATACATCTATAAATGCTAACTTGAGAACTAATGTCAAATATTATTAAGTATCACAGTTTCGGCAGAATGGCATCGTTAAATGAAACTGAACATCGAAATTAATTAAATCAAATTGTTTAAGTGATATTTTCAAAAGTCAACTTGGAAACGGTTGGTTTGAGGTACATTATGTGTATCTCGATTTTTGCTTAGAATTGAAGGAAGAACCGAAATATGCAATAATATACATGGGGTTCTATTTAAAAAAATGAAACTTTGAGGTGCCACGACTTTATTACCGTCCCTGTATATTTAAATTTATTACTCGCTAATAGATATTTAAAAATCCTATAACTTCTGTATTTAACTTTTTGCGCTACCTCCTATATTTTACCTAATAATCGAGCGTTTCCATACTTGACAGCGACCCTGTATATCCTGATCATTATACAGGTGGAAACATATATATAGATGTCTTTATCATTAAAATTTAACGTAAAAACAACATATATTTGTTTACCCTTAAGGGTAAACAAATATATGTTGCTTTAGGAATGCACTTATTTCTGAGACACCCTGTATAAATATATGATCCAGGAATTTCTCGAAAATGTGTGTCTATTCTTCTATATGCTCGAATGAACTGGAATATTCAACGGACTTCCAACAACGGGCTAGCCATTGATACATTTGGACATGAGACATTTCATCACTCTACTGTTTATGATCGTCGACAAATCTTAAGTAATTGATAACAGATATAAAATTTATGTTATTCAAAAGTCCTGCAAAAATCTTTTTTATTTCAAATTTTTGTATCTATAGTAAAAAGAAAATCTACTACGAACGTCATGTCTATACACGGGTCCACTCTGAACATTGGCTACCTTTTACTTTTACCCATTCTCTATGCATTCAATATATAGGTTTTAACACTTTTTATGTCATTTCCCCAACTTGGTCTTTCTTTATTTCGGAAAGCTTCGGATCTCGGACGCTAGAATGGGGTATCTTATAATGTCTTGTAAGTCATCTTTAAACTACATCTCAAATAAGACGTTCAAAATACATAGAAGCGCTCCTATTTTATCCATAATTATTAAAATGTAACACTGTCATTTTATAATCCAAGGAAACAAATAAAGTTATAAGCATGACTAGCATATTGAAGAAGCTACTTGTAACAATTTCTTAGCATAATACCATATATAACAGAGTAAATATTATGATTTAAAAATGACTCGACTTACTTTGAGTAAAAATCTGCAAGCCACCGGTTACCTGCGGATATAGAATCGACAGAAAAATTAGCAATATCTTTTCTAAAACAATGTAATCGTCTAGATAGATTACTTTAGTAAACCTTCTACAATATCATATATTCGGCATATTTACATTGTTATTACTAGCTTTATTGCTTTATTCTTTAAAGGTTTAGCTTACCAAGTGGCAGAATTAGTTTAACTTAGTCCCCCATTCTTTCAAGTAGTTAATAATAGTATTAGACGGTAGGCGCAAAAAGACAATTTAATTTAATAAAATAAGCAATGCGCGAGGTTTCCTGATACAAAAATATCTTTAATTTAAATAAATACATTGTAATTAGGTCAAGACATTGACATAGTTATTAAATTATGAACAATTACGATCATGTTTCCAGAAAAATCAATCCCCGAGAAAATGCTAATGTGTTGAGTTTAATAACATTTTCGTAAGTACCTTATTTTATTCTAAGCGTGTTTCTTTTAAAAAAAATGGTTTAGGTACACAGGGGGATTATTTAAAAAAGCAATAAAACGGGATCTTGAAGAAGAAGATATATACGAGGTGGTCGATAGTTGCAGATCCGACTCAAACGGAGATAGATTCGAAAGATCATGGAGCGTAGAAAAGGAAACAAAAGAAAAAGTTTCTCTGACCAAATTATTGTGGAAATGTTTTGGTTTAAAATTCTTATTTCTGGGTTGCATTCACTTAACTTGGAAGATTATAAGCAGGTAAGTCAGAAAAAAGCATGCAAAAAAACAATAAAGTCGTAAAGTTTAAATAGTTTTTTTTCCAATAACATAAGATAGATAAATACTTAAAGATGTTACTTTGAATGTGGTAGACAGTGATCCAGTATTAAAACTAAAAGAGTTTCGGACTTTCATTGTCTTTATTGATTTTGCTTACATAACGTTCCGGTCAGAAGTAGAATGTAGAATGAGTGAGAGGGGGGGTTAATCACTTCGACCTTAAAGATCTATTGTGCCACCCTTCATTGAGTTATCACACAGTCTATAACCCATCATACCTCTGTTGTAGAAGAGACAGGGTATTTCCCATCCTCCTCTGACAACAGATGTTCTTCCTCCGAGGGTACACACCCTTCTACGATTGGAGTTTGGCCCTCCGTGTCCTTCACAGTTGAGGTACCCGTGAGGTGTAGGCTGGAGGAACTGTCTCCATTTTCTCCGCCTCTTTAACTTGGTCTCTCCTTAGACCTGATACCGGTGTTGTCCTGTATCTATAATAGAGGATATGTCCCTCTGTCTCTATTGCCTCCTTGGATTTGAGGTCAATCCTATTGTAAGGACTTGACCATGATCCTCCTCCCTCGAGTTGATGACTCGCCAACTCAATGTCCTTACATTGAAATTCTGACCCTGGATATTGAGATTCTTGAGATACACAATCTATGAGGATCATGACCACCCGAAAGTGTATCCCTGCAAAACGCAACTGACCCACATTTTGTAGATCGTGGTGTTGCGATCCGATCGCCACTACTTCGTCCAGTATAGCTTCTTCGTTTGCTGGTCAGTGGTCAGAGCAACCTCTGGGAAATCATTTGGCAGCACCGCCATTTTCACTTGTCCAGCAATAGCAGCAAAGCTGGTGATATGTCCCTGCTTGCCTTCCGATGTTGGACGGCTTTCCATCCTGGCTCTTTTCTCTCCCTGCCGGAGAAGAGGTGAGGGGTTTTCGCTCCCTCTCTTGCCTTTTGATGGAGATGAGTCAGGTTGTTTCTTGGTTTCTTTTCTTCCCTTTTGCCTTTTCGGAGGAGTGTTTTCGCTTTTGCTTCCTCTGGAGCAAGTCCTTCGTGGAGCAGTTGGAGGTATCTCCGTGCTTCTGCTCCGCTAAGACCTACTCTCAGAGGATCGTCTAGCCCGCCTGGTTGACCCAGGCCGGGTAGACGAAACGGTAACTTGTGTTGCTTATTGGGTCTAAAGCTCCCGACCCTTGCTGGAGAAGGTGGTAGCTTGTGTGCCACTTGTGGAGGATGATGATCTCAAGCAAGTGTCAGCCGCCCTTCTTGTAGTTTCCTTTGGATTTGGTCCCTTGGAACTTTCATTGGTAATGTTCCCAGTGTCGCTAGGGGCTTCCCCACAGCTTAACCGATGGTGTTTTTAATACTAGATCTTATAGTGTTCCCGCGAGTTGCTAGGGATAATCGGTCCACTTCTACAGAGCCCAGCATGTAGAAGTAAGAGGTAAATACAATAGGGTACCCCTGGTGCCCCAAGGTTCACAAGGTTGAGACCAGTAAAGGCTAGTCTTCTATCTAGCCACGCCTCCCTTTGACCCGGTCCCGCCATCTTAGGATTTAGGTCTTTGGTGAGGTTGTCTCCTCTTGGTCCGGGCGGTAAAGCCAAGACTCCCCCACACCCTCTACCCGTGAGACATGACCACAGACAGTAGAGGGTGCCTGGTATGACGGACAGGATAGCCAGGTCCGGCATCGTTATATGTCTTGGTGCAATTCCCTGGCCACGACACTACAGCCAGGGACAAGACAATGAGATGCTTCTTAGACCAAGATAAAGTGCTAGAGGAGACTCCTCCAGCACCTGACAAGGACCTTCCCCACCAACGACAATGTCTTCCATCTCCTAGGGGAAGGATCACTGACCGTTATCAAGTGTGTACTAAACTAAATCCTAAAACTACTAAGCTTATAAACTACAGCCATATATTCATCCGTGAATTTGTTGGGTGCAATCAAGCATGACGTTTTCCACTAAGAACACCTACATTGGAGCGTTTTATGTGCGGTTGCTTTATTGTTGAAATTTCCATACTTAGATTGCTAAAGATTTTATTATTGTTAGAAATGAATACGGCCTCTTTTTAAATTTACGCTTTTTCCAATCGGGCTCTTTGTGGACAACCCGGGCTTCCGACTATTTTATGTTGTGGTGCTTGGACCACACATGATCTGTAATGTCCTACTTTATTGTTTCACCTCCTTGCGTATGTTTTTTCATGTTCGTCAAGTCGTACATGTAGAGGACGTTTTGTCGCTCCAATATACGACTCACCGCACTCGCAAGGTACCTGGTAGATGCACTTTTCTCTTGGTTCGATGATTCAAGTTTTGTTTTTGTTAGGACACTTGTTAGAGAAACAAAAATCTTCTTGAATACTATTTTAACAATATATTAATGCAATATTTATTCATTTCTTATTTAAAAAAAAAATAAAACATATACCGACTGAGTCTCAAAAGTGGCCCACCCCTAAACTTTTTTATCTTTTCAGATAAAAAACGGGATTTGGTGTGTTTAATATAAATTAGGATTGATTGACTTTATTCAATTGTTTTTGATCACTTCTTGTTTCACCGGAAATGACAATACGGAATACAAATGGTGATTTTTAAATGGCACCCTCTGTATTTTTTATTTTATTCGACAGAAAATGACACTCTAAATAAAATGACATAACGTATGTCAACTTTTGACATTTTCTCTTTCAAAAAATTGTATTTTAAATTTCAATCTAGAGTACCATGGCTGTGTTTAATTTAAAACATTAGTTTTTAATTAAAGAGCCTTGGAAAAATAGATTTGATCATCCAATGTCTTATATTTTGTCATGGCCGGTTAAAAGATGCCAAATCGTGTTTTTAATCATATCTCATTTTCTTCAAATGAAACGAGAGTGGCTCTTTAGCATATTGGAAAAAAGCATTTTTTTATGAATAATTTGATACTACACACTGGATATTTCGAGTCAAATTGTCGTTATGAACCGCATGTTACAATTTTCAATAAACTATATGAGAAAATGTCAATAATTGACATATGATATTATGTCATTCTATTCAGAGTGTCATTTTCTATCGAATAAAGTAAAAAAACTAGAGTGCCATTTAGAAATCAAAAGTTGTTTCGGGTGTAACAGGTAGTGACCAAAAACGCCGTGACCAAAAATAATTGAATACGTCAATCAATCCTAATTTATTTCACCAACATACCAAATCTCGTTCTGTAATCTGAAAAAATAAAAATGTTATAGAGGTGAGCCACTTTCGAGTCGCACCCGGTATAATACACATATATTTTGAAAATATCTTTATAATAATTTATTATATTATATAGGTTATAACTAGTTAATATAATCTATTTCTTTCAGCATTTACGAACCAGAAGCTATAGGAAAACTGGTTTCTTACTTTGTTCCTAATCAAACCAAGCTTACGTTACAAGATGCTATTTATTATGGATGTTTAATGATCGGTTTGAAATTTGCCCAAGCGTTATACTTGCAGAACTATCACATATACTTGCAACAACTTGCCATTCAAATACGAACTTCATTTTGTTCGTTAATTTATAGGAAAGGTAAACCACCGGTGATGAGAAACTTTTTTTGTTTAAAATTTGTATTTGATGTGTATCAGTATAATAACCAAATTTAGAACTACTGTTATGAAAAGAGACTTACTTCTTCCTTATTTAAATAATGATTCGAATGCAGTTTTTCAATTATTAGGACGAAAAAAATTAATTATAAATTATAAATACCTATGCAATAATATAATAAAATACATGTATCCACTGAGCTGAGCGCAAACTAGACTTGCGCAAGTTTCGGAATTAAAAATTGAAACTTTCTTGAAACCCGCAAAAATCTAGATACTTACGTATATAGTTCATATCAAATAAACTTTTAGTCACGTGATTTAGCTTGACCGGCACAGCGTTGTCCACTTTTACATATTTTCTTTTAATCAAAATATTTTAGGAAACAAAAATAAATTAATTATAAATATATAAACAGTTATTATTTGCATTAACAAATCTCACCTTCTTAACAGCACTTAGGGGACCTAAAGAACCATTACTACCGCTTTCCCGGTCAATATATTCTAATAAAGTTGCGATGAGTTTTTTACGGCTATTAAGCTATCTCGTACACTCACAGTAAAAGAGGTTCTAAAAAGAACAATGGTCGACTGCATGCAAGGTCTCCTAATAAAATTTTTTAAGCTTAAAGTATCACAACATAATTTATTTAAACCAAAAACTCGTAGTACAAATATAAAAGTCAAAACGCATGACAATGTCAGGAAATAAATAAATAAATGCGGCAACTTGGCATTTTTTACAGTAGAGCTACCACCTGAATCCCCAGCGGGAAATTTATATTCCAACTAGTCAGTCCGGCGCCGAATATGTTTATTATTGGCAACAATGAATTAAAAAATCGCGCCCTCGATTACGTAACTAAAAGATTAATTGGTATCAAATACAGGGTGAGTTTCCTACGATGTTCTCTATGGGTATCTCGGAAACTACTGAAGATAGAGAGTCGGTTAAATGGGCAAAGAATTGCAGTTTTGTGGGGTCATAAATATGCGCCTTTCAGGTTTATGAAAAAGTTCATGGCTTACTAGATATTTCGAAAAAAACAAATTTCGGCTATTTTAAAAATTGTTCCTAATTCCATTATAAGCTATTTTAGACAAAAAGTTTTCAGATAAAAGTTGTAGATAATCACATCCTTAATGAGACTGTGTCCTCCGCTTTTTTCTAAAGCCTGTCATTTTTGACATATGATACAAACATATGTTTTTTTTAAATTAATTTAAATTTAAAATAGTTGGCCATGACTTCATAAAAAGCGCCAATTTTTAAGCTTTTTAGCGATATAAGCTAAAATATGTTTTCTTCGAAAACTTACTGAGTTATAGCCAATTCTTGACATTTTTAAACAATTTCACTTAGTTAGTCATGGAAACAAGTTCAATCGCCGTTGCTCTCAGGAATGTTAAGCTGTCACATCCAAACTTTGTAAATTAAAATAAACAAAAATTGTAAATATGAATTTTTCAAATGAAGAAAAGCGTGTAGATACTCGCGCTTCAATAGAGTGGTTCCAACATGAGTTTCATTATACCCCCCATAAGTGAAAGAAATGTTAAAAATTATTTATATCACAATTATGCAAACTCAGGGATAGGAAGAGGTGGACTAATTGCATGGGTCCCCTCGATCACCTGACCTATCCATTTTAGATTTTTTTTTATGCGGTATGGTTAACAATAAGGTTCACAAAAGAACTTATGAATTAAGAGAGGCACTCGAAGTGGCGGTACGAGAGAAGTTTAATTAAGTGGACCGGTCCTTCTGTAAGAATAGGTAGTAATTCAGTTTTAAAAGTATGTAACTCAAAACAATGGCGGATTTTTTGAACATTTTCTAAAATAACTTAAAGTGTATGTAGTGATATATTTTTTTAAGTTTTAGTTTGTGTAATGTAAAGTGTAAAGAACAATTTTAGTAATATATTCTGACTTTTTATAAGTTATAAAATTTATAACAGAATAAGAATACCATGCAATCTAAGTGAAATTAGTCAAGGAAGATAAGAAATGGCTATAGCTAAATTTAACTTTTCTAACATGTCTTGAAAACCGTTCTCTAAAAAACGTAACATTCACTTGTCAACGTATCCTTGAAAATGTATGGTCAAGAAAAGTTGAACCAATAATCCTACACGCTTTTCTTCATTTGAAAAATTCATATTTACAATTTTTGATTATTTTAATTTACAAAGTTTGGATGTGGCAGTTTCACATTTCTGAGAGCAACGACGATTGAACTTGTTCCCATGGCTAACTAAGGGAAATTGTTTAAAAATGTTAAGAATTGGCTATAACTCGGTAAGTTTTCGAAGAAAACATATTATAGCTTATATCTCTAAAAAGCTTAAAAATGGCGCTTTTTATGAAGTCATGGCCAACTATGGTTTCCATATAAAAAAACATATGTTTGTATCATATGTCAAAAATGACAGGCTTTAGAAAAAAACGGAGGACACAGTCTCATTAAGGATGTGATTATCTACAACTTTTATCTGAAAACTTTTTGTCTAAAATAGCTTATAATGGAATTAGGGACAATTTTTAAAATAGCCGAAATTTGTTTTTTTCGAATTATCTAGTAAGCTATAAACTTTTTCAAAAATCTGAAAGGCGCATATTTATGACCCCACAAAACTGCAATTCTTTGTCCATTTAACCGACTCTCTATCTTCAGTAATTTCCGAGATACCCATAGAGAACATCGTAGGAAACTCACACTGTATACGTGCGTATACGTGCTCCCACACACGTTCTAATATACTTGTGCAAGACCTGTTTCTGCAAGTATACTGGAACTTATGCGGTAGGCATTAAAATGATCCGCTAATGGGATAATAGTATATTATTCAACGAGCATATAATGGCGGCTGTTATTCACGCGGATGAAGTTTATGAATAATAATAATAATAATTAAATTATATAAATCATTCAAGTGAATAACAGTCATTATATGCGAGTAGAATACTATACTTTATCCAGGACTATGAAAAAAATTAGATAATATTAATATAAGTTTTTATTTTTAATGTCAAAAAAATATTGAACGAGTATAACGAGTAAGTAACATGGAAACAAAACATTGAAATTTTCTTTAACTAGGTAGCTAACTAATTTAGCTTTAACTAATTAAAACAAAAATTATTTATTTACATTAATGGTAATGTTTGACAGCTCTTGTTTGGAGTTTGGATCGAGATATCCGTGGAAGCGGTGAATGATGAATTTTTAAGTGTATACTTTCTTGATTATGCGGTAACAGAGGACGTGGAATTATCTGAGATCCGGGCACCAATCCATAATTTGGATTTTTTTTTTGTTGCCATAATTTTTTTAAAGTTTCAAAATTAAATAACTCGGTTTATTTTCAATTTATTTTAAAAATGGTAAAGAGAAAATATGTTTCTTTTGACCAAATTTACCACCCCTTAAAACATCTGCATTTATTACTGGAACACCATGTAAATAAATAATTATTTATATTTTGTAGGTTAAATGCATTATTATATACAGGGTGTCCCAGAAATAAGTGCAAGTGTTTTAAGGGATCTAAGGGTTTTAAGGGTGTTTTAAGATCTCGATAAAAGAAACATATTTTCTCTTTATCGTTTTTTAAAAAGTCCAAAATAACGGAGTTATTTTACTTTGAAAATTTCCAAAAAATATATTTTTTGCTAAAATTTTGAGGACCACTGGATCTTTTCTGGATTTTCTTTCTTGTAAATTTAATCTACTACAGTACGTCTGTTCGTTCTGTAGCTACGGGGTATCCGTGAGAGGGGAAACGATATTCTCTCCATGTTTTTCGTAAAAAATTAAACGACGCGTCCCATCAATAAATATTCGACAAATTTGCAAGTAGCCAATAAAATGAGTGGGCGGAGCGATTTGCGGTGACGTACTCGTCAAGTCGACGTATAAAATACGACGTTGTTTATTTAAATGTTTTTTTGTCCGCATTCCTTTTATAGACACAGATCCAGCAGACGTACTGTACCTATGTTGCCGTATGCTCAAGAAATTATGTTTTTTAACTAAAAACTAAAAAAAAATCCTATTTTTTTTTCAAAAAATTCCGAATTTTCAAATTTTTTTTCGCGAAAAAAAACCTCATTGACGTGTTTCTGGGGTTGAACTATACTCCCAGATAAAATACTTGCACTTATTTCTGGGACACCCTGTATATTCATATTTATTATTTACTGAATCCATTATAATATATTTTTGTTCATATTGATTTTTTCTGTTTATTTTTAGCATTAAGACTTACCCCATCAGCTATGAACGAAATTAGCCTTGGAAATATAATAACAGTTATAACAAAAGACGTGGTAGCGTTTGAAGGAACCCTCATGCTATTTAGTGATCTATGGGTAGAAAGTATTAAATTATTTGTAACTTGTTACCTGATCTACAATAAAATGGGACCAGCCGGATTTGTAGGAATTGGTTGTCTTTGCTCGGTACTTCCTGCCCAAGGTAAGTATAAGTATAGCCCAAGTGGCACAAATGTGCTTAAAATGGTTATATAGAGTGTTATATAACAATTCATGATAAATATGTACTATTTTTCAAGTGCTTTATAAACCCTAATACGATAGTTATAAACACGAAATAGGCGCAGGTTTATAAAACAATATACTTATTTAGAAGTACGTTAAAAACTCTCCGATAACGCTTACAAAATAATATTGAGTACATTACAAAATATTTATAAAACTGTTTTATAAAAGATTTATAAATATTTTAAAAATAACATATTTGTCTCAGTTAAAATATTTTTGTAGCATGCATCTGCATTTTTATTTTTTTAGTTATCAAGAATAAAATTATAATATCGTGTATTTATAGTGACCAAGACAAAACTGATTTTAAAAATGGCAAAGTACACATATATTCTATTTAAATGACAAATATGGCTAATTTAAAGAAATATGTAAATTGTATAAAAAGTAATATCTCCTAAAACGCTCCAGGAGTTAAATTTTCCTGCGGAGTAAATTTTACTGATATTATATATTCATATTTGTGGAAATATTTTAAGGCGCATTCGTTTTAATAAGATTTTGCAGTTATAATAAATATTTAATTTTTAGGAAATTACTGCAATGTTACCTGTAAACTGAAAAATCGACATTATCCAATATCCGATATTATTGTAAACTGATTGGTTTCTTATAAGTACGTTTATTTTGAATTAAATTTCGATTATTTTGTTTTGCAAATCCCGAGTCGGTAAAATGGCCGACATACAGTCGTCCAAATTCAACATAAAATCATGGCGTCGACTAACAAAACATTTTTGTTGCTCAGGGAGCAGTTATATAATTAACTTGTTTTACAATGATGCTATACGGAACATATTGGTTTTATTACTTAAAATAATGTCGGCAAAATAAATTAAATTTGTCTATATATTCCTGTGCTGTCACATTTACAACAATAAAATTATGGACGTGTGTTTTTAAATTCGCAGTAGGTTCATCAATACTTAAAACATAGGAAGACATTTAAAAAAAATTAAATTTTCATCGATTTTTCTACGGCAAATAATTGGAAAAAATACATAATTAAACACAAATTTGACTTTCAATTATACTTGCAGACTTTATTTTTATTCTGGCAACATTGGATGACTTTCTTTCCTTCACCTTTTTGATACGAACGCCACAGAATAATAACGTAGAAATGGGTCTCACTACTATGTAGTCGAACCGGGTTTTAATATAGCAGTATTGTTGCACTTCACGTGTTATCCCGCTATTTCAAAACCTGATTATTTTTTATTCATTTTGCTTATGTTATTTATTTTTTGTTAGCTACACTTAAACACAAATATGTTTAATATCAAAAATAAAATCTTCTAGTTGTTTCTTGAGGTTAGTGCTATAGTATGTTTATAAGGTTTCCTAAATAACATTTTTGTATTTAGGGAAACACTTTTGTTTTTTAATCGCTTTATAAGTATTTAAATTCGTTTCTTTAACAGCAATTATAAAATTGTTTTCTTAGAGTAGCGGTCGCGACTAAATTATTGCGAAGATCAAATTTTTTTATAAATCAGTCGTAAAAACAGCTATAAAACATGTCGATAATGTTTTAATAAACTAAAATGCATATTTTTATAGCTCTTTTGTAAATATTTAATAATTGTTTTAAATTATATTATAAATCAATTATAAAATATATCTAGCTCAAGCATAAATAGTTGTATAATATTTGTTATATAAACGTTCCTGAGCATATTAACGAATATGTTTATAAAAATGTTTTATAAATTAGTCGCCAAAACATCTATATAACAAAATAATAAAACACATTTGTCTCTATGATAAATTTGTGTTCTTTGCGTTTATTATATAACAATTCAGTGTACGAGATCGCTTTAATAAATCGTATATAAAACACTTCACGCTCATAATAATTTATTGTGCTACTTGGGAGAGAATAAGAGTGTTGATAAATAATAATAAAGGTGTCAAGATAAACAAAATAAAACACTGGATTACCACTATAGGTATACCAAAACACTTATCAAAACGTCTTTTTAACACGCCTTGGCCCCGTGGGCCCCTCTCTATATCCGCCATTGGTTGTCCATAAATGTTGATTTTGTTTCTAAAATTATGTTTTACCCTACATTTTTAATACAACCTCCAAAATACCGTGTGAATTACCTGTATATTTATTCTAAATCCTAATGGTTTTCATGTTTTCTTGGTTCATAATTTCGAGGTTAATGTCATATGTCATAATAAAGCAAATGACGTTTGACGATAAATTAATAAATATAATAATGTACTGATAATTTAAATATTTATATACTAATTCAACATGTTTCACGTTTGTAAATTACATAATTTTTAATTTAATATCATCCTAAATAAAAGGAAATATGAAATATATTTCGATAAAACGTTTGACAACGGCGCAAACAAAGTTTTGTAGTGACATCTGTGCGGTAGAGGTGAAACCTAAACAATTACGAAAGTATTCTGCAATCAACCTAGTTTATTTCAAAACTTGAGTGATTTCGGGTCCACAATTTTTAACGCGTAAGGAGCCATCTGGTATACTCTGTGATAAAATTTTAAAATACATAAAAAATTCAAGGTGCCCGTTTTTCATGCCGGTGAATGTATAAATGCCATATACTTATAAACTTTACTTTATAAATATACAGGGTCTGACAATAGTGCGTCGGGCATGTATACCTCCTAAAATAAAAAAAAACTTAGCAATTTTGTTTAAGTGTAAACCTAAAGTATGGTATTAGGATGTATTTCAGGAAAATAATTTAACCTCTACAGGGTGACTCAAAAAAGTGTGAGTGGATGAGGATGATTTTTTTTAAATGGAACACCCTGTATATTAGTATATTTTTGGCTTCCTTTCTGATAACTTTACATAATTTTAAGATATTTTTAAATAAGTTTTGATAGCTTCAGAGATATTAATAAATAAATAAAAAAATATTTTTTTCAGCCTTTTTAAAAAAATTATTAAAAATACAAGAACTGTCCTGAAATCGAAACTATATTAGGTGTTTACTTTAGATGGTCTGTACCTACTTTGCTATAAATATCGTAATCTTAAATCATACAGGGTGTTCAAAATTCTACGCCACACTTTCTAAAATATAAAATAATTTTTCTTCGTTATTTTAAACGGAACACCCTGTATATCATTCTTTTAATAGATAGAGAATTAAAAAATGAACATTTTTTGTATTAAGAGTATTTCAAAATTTTTAACGGTTTCGCAGATACCACTCACACTTTTTTGAGCCACCCTTCAGAAGTTAAAATATTTTCCTGAAATACATTCTAGTACATACTTTAGGTTAGCACTTAAAAAAAACTTCCAAGTTTTTTATTCTAGGAGCTACAGATGCCAGACGCACTATTGCCGGACCCTGTAGGATGAATACAGTCGCCCCTAATTAGTAAAGTTATCGAGACTCTACGGTAATAAGAAAAAAAATCAATTTGACCCTATGGATTGTTGCAATGGACGAACTTAAAGAAACTACAATTTTAATTTCTAGTGTATGTTGGCAAACTTATAAGAAACTTAAGATTGGACTTGGGAAAGAAAACAGATGAACGGTTACAAGCTACTCAAGAGACTCTATCTGCCATAAAAATAATAAAAATGTACACATGGGAAACAGTATTTTCGAAAAAAGTTGAAAGTAAACGTGTGTAAGTAATATTAAGTTATTATTTGTGAAATACGATTATGAAATATTCGTCTAGGTAACTAATTCAAATTATCTTCCAGAAAGGAAATGGGATATCTTATGAAATCATTTTACTTAAGATCAATGAACTTCATGGTTGGCATATTTACGTCAAAAATTGGTTTGTACGCCTTGATGATGACTTACATTGCCGTCAATGAGGTAGCTGACGCCGAAGTAATTTTCTATGTTATGAAGTGCTTCAAAGATTTAAAGCATTCGATTAGTATATTAATTCCTATTGGACTGGGAAGAGGTGCAGAACTTCTAGCATCTGCTAAACGGATTAGTAGAATCCTCAACAGCGACGAAATCGAAAACGACGACGACTACATGAATAAGAAGTCAAAGGTTAAAGCTAGTAATGTCAATGTCAAAGTAAGCTATATACAAATATTAGACTTCATAGTATATTTTTATACAATATGATCGAAAAAAAAACGGGCGTCAGCGAAGGCTATGAAATGAAGTTCGCTGTCATTTTATATGTAAAATTATATGGGGAATGTAATCGATCGTCATTTTCAAGCTAACTGGACGCCGTTTTTTCGATTATACGGTATTTTAGTGCTAATTAGACAAACATAAAGTTATGTACAGGGTGGCCCGCATTATAATCGAGAAACTTCGACAAACTTCAACTGTTTTGAAGAGTAAGAACTTTGTGTCCGTGCTTGCACTACTGAAAGGAAAATATATATTCTCGCTATCTTTCGTATTGTCGATGTATTGATTATTTCGACTCCAAATATCTTGAAAACGATTGCGTGGGGATTTTCCTATTTTAGGGGGGACGGGGTATTCTGACAACAGATGTTCTTCCTCCGAGGGTATACACCCTTCGACGGTCGAAGAGCTTGCCTCCGGCTGAGGTACCCGTGAGGTGGAGGCTCTCTCTCCATCTTAATCTATCTCCATTAACTCCGTCTCTCTCGATTTTCTCCACCTGTTTAACTTGGTCTCTCCATAGACCTGATACCGGTGGTATTCCGAATCTATAATAGAGGATATATCTACCTCCTCTATTACCTATATTGGAGGTCAATTCCCTCCTCCCTCGAGTTGATGACTCGCCAACTCCATGTCCTTAAATTGGAGTTCTGGGCCTGGATAAAAAAAAAAGGCTCAGCAGGTCAACTCAGACCATCGAGTCCACACCCCAACTTTGGGATAGCCAACCGTGTAATGTTTGGCAGGACTTCTCTCAGTTCAGTCAGAGCCTCCCACAGATTGAGATACCTTTTGGTGACCCTACGTATTAGGTGACCCTACCCTACGATCGTAGCATCGGAGATATAAACTTGAATATAATTTATATTTGGTGACCAGGTCGAAGTTGTGTCTCGTTTGACCCTGTGCATTGTCGGTTAGTCTCGAGACGCTTCCTACGAGTATATCCGGATCCTGTTGATCCTGGAATATATCCTGATCCTGAATATTCTGAGAAGCTAATTAGAGTTGCAATTCTTGGTATATCCAGCTCCAAAAAGGATAGGATATCCATCTCATAGGATATTTCATAGTCTCAAGACAGATCTTTATGATACTGATTTTGTAACATTGATCTGACAGGATGTAAATCTCTATGGTGTAAATGAATAAGTGCTTAAAATTTTGGGACATGGACTGCTAATTTAAAGGATTAAAGAATGTTTTCCAAATGTTTATTGTGATCGGTTTTCGAAAAAGGTTACAAATTTGTGATTTTATTTCACCCTATACAAACAAAATATCTTTATGGGGAAGGACGAAATCAGAAATTTTTGTTTGGAAAAACTTTTGTATTTTCAAAAAAAAAATAACTTGATTTGCAATTATTGATTTCAGTTCTCTTGATTGGCAGTTGTGTCTGTAATTTTAATTTACATATAAATATAATTTTTTGTTATTTTTCATCTGTCAAAATCTTCCATGACTCATTGAACAGACAGATTATGCAAGGTGTCCCATTTTCGTGTCCGTTTTTTATTGTTAAGAATTTTATAACATTTTTTGTGTTATTCTATATTTTATAATTTAGAACACATTGACATTGTACAGGATGTCCCATTTTCATGTGTTTTGCGAGGTTTCTCTTTTATCGATAGAGCTACAAAGATACGGTTTTCACATTACTTTGCTACTTTTTTATTAATATATCAATGACCCCCTTCGTATCTTGTTTTTTTTATATCTAATCAAAAAGATGAAAACTAAATCCGTAGATTTTTTGCGTAGACTCCAGGGGTGTAACTAGTTTTTCGCTGTGAGCTGCCATTTTCGAAAAATGACTCACCCTACCAGTATTTTTTGTATTTTTGCACCAGAATATCATAGTTAATACAACTCATACTTATTTTTTTATGGAACAGCCTGTATATTATTTTTTTAATTTTATTTGTTTTGTTATGACATTTCTAAAAATATAATACACTCTATACTTATTTTTATAAATAAGGTAAAGGTATGCATTATTTACTTTTACATAAATCTACCTAGTTTAAAAGAGTATTATTATTTTATTTTATTTAATTTAAACAGACAATTTTGCTTTTCATCGTGCGTTCAGCGTTATCTTAATAAACTGCACTGAAAATGAACTTCCGCTACTTTTGAATAATACGCTGTACAGGGTGGGTCAAATTCGACGCTTTTAAATGGAAACAACCTTTTCTATAGGAGATAGACGAAAACTAATATCGGTGTCTGGAGCTCAATTTTCATCAAAAACATGATGGTGAAAACCGCACATCAATATCTGTTACCGTTTCGGAGTTACGGGGTGTTTTTCAAAAATGTGCATTTTTAACAAATCGCTGTAACTTTTTTGCTAAGGAAAATTTTGTATTTCTATGAAAACATTTCCAAAGCACCTTTTTACGTAGAATTTAATGTTTTAAGTATAATTTTTCTAAAATTAATAATTTAAGAGTTATCAACAGAAAAATTAATTTTTTATTTGGGACACCCTCTATATTTTTAATTAACTGAGAAGAATTTAAAATTACCTTTCCAAAAATATAGCACACTTGATATTTTGTTATAATCCCCTTCGAAATACAGAATTTTTAAAAGTTCCCCACTTTTAACTAGTAGGCTTTGGACCCCTTATTGATGGTATGCCCTTAATGGAACTCGAAAACATATTTTTCCAGCAAGACGACGCACCGTCTCTGAACACTGAAGTTATCAGCAAAATTTTGCAGCCAATTTCAAGAATAATTGAATAGCCAACGAAGATCCCAGCCGTTGGCCGTCGAGGCCGCCTGACTTAGTGCCCCATTGATCTAATCCTATGGATATATTTGCTGAAGAATAAAGGTTCCTTATTCTTCCGTATAATCTAGACAAAAATTAGAAATACTTAGCAGTTATGGGAGGGTATCTTTCACCCCCACTGATTTAATGAATTCCGCGAGAAATGTCCAAAAACTGCCCCGTCTGTCCATAACAGAAGACGATCGAGATGTCGAACACCTGTAGCAAAATCTCATGTCTTGGTTTGCTATTTATTTTTATTGTTATTAGATATAGTTTAAATGTGTTGATATTGGTTAAATTTATTTTAAATTGTTATAAAATTCTGCATCTCTCATAGCAAATATTATTTTCGTTTTAATTGATGCTCACAGCTAGATTTATTTTGCAATACAGCCGGTGCCGTTCAAAGCCTACTTATTTAAAGCGGACGGATTTTTATATACTCTATATCTCGAAGGGGAATCGAGCAAAATATCAAGTGTGTTATATTTTTAGAAAGGTAATTTTAAATTCTTTTCAATAAATTAATAATATACAGGGTGTCCCATATAAAAAATCAAATTTTCTGTTGATAATTCTTAAATTATTAATTTTAAAAAAATTATACTTAAACCATTAAATTCTACGTAAGGTGCTTTGGAAATGTTTTCATAAAAATACAAAATTTCCATAGCAAAAAAGTTACAGCGATTTGTTAAAAATGCAAGATTGAGCTCCAGACACCGATATTAGTTTTTGTCTATCTCCTATAGAAAAGGGTGTTTCCATTTAAAAGCGTCGAATTTGACCCCCCCCCTGCTTTTTATAGTTTTTTTTGTACATCCGAGTTATTGATATTTTAACCAATATTTGACGTCGAATAAATTATTCCATTGTTTTTATTATCTAATTTATACCGGCCGCCTATGTTAAAAAGTTAAATAATGCATTTTTGTACCTTGTTTATGAAAAGAAGTATAGATTATATTATATTTTTAGAAAGCCTCATAAACACGGCAAATAAACAAAAAAATAATATACAGGGTATCCCATTAAAAAAAAAGCAGCATAAGTTTGGGTCATATTTGGATATTGGAAGTTATAGGATAACCGAGATACAAAAAGTGTCGATAAATGCAACATTTTCGACAGTTCGCCCAGTATATATCTATATGTAGCATCTTTAGTTTCGTAAAAAAAAGTAGCACGTGATGTGAAAACCGCATCTTTGTACCTGTACTCAAAAACGGAGAAACCCTGTAAACACACGAAAAAGGGACACTCTATACCTGAAAAATATTCAAATGGCATTGAAATTTTATTGAAATATTACAAACCACCATTAAATTTCAGATTAAAGACCGTGATATCCTGAAGAATATTTCGACTGAAATTAAACCAGGACTTACAGTTGTGACCGGGCCTCTGGGATGTGGAAAAAGTTCCCTTCTGAAATTATTTTTAAGAGATCTACCGGTATCTGACGGAAAGCTTGTTAGCGAAGGTTCCTTTTCATATTCCTCACAAGATCCGTGGCTATTCCCTTCATCCATTAAACAAAACATCTTGTTTGGAGAAACTTATGACCCAGTTAGGTATAATCAAGTGGTCAAGGTATGCGCCTTGGAGTATGATTTCGAGTTGTTCGAACAAGGAGACGAGACTATAGTAGGTATAACATAATTTGACAATGATTGTCGTAGAATTGTAACTTATAATATATTTTTAGCTGACGGAGGTAAAAATCTTAGCGGTGGACAACAAGCTAGAATAAATTTAGCGCGGGCAGTGTACAAAAAAAGTCACGTGTATCTATTGGACGACCCTCTACACGCTTTAGACCCCAACGTTCAGGATTTTGTTTATCAAAATTGCATTAAAGACTTTTTAAAATACGAATACTGCGTCTTGGTTACACACAATGTTAAGCATCGGCAAGGCGCTGATAACTTGATCCTCATGAAGGAAGGTTCCATAAAATTTGACGGTAAAGGAACAGATAATAAAGCAGATTTATTGCGAGAAACAAGTTTAGAGCCGGAGATATTGAGTTCAGATTTCCAAGAAGACATTGGAGATATAAACGAAACTACACAGCTTATTAATGACGAGAGAACTAACCAAAAGAAAGTGTACAGTGAAGTGAAGAAAATAGGAAAAGTAGACTTCTCTGTATATAAAAAGTATTTCTCATTTGGAGGTGGAATTTTTATGTTTATGGTCATATTTTTCCTGTTTATGATTACGGAAACGTCAGAAAGTTACTCTGCTAGATTACTAACAAACTGGTATGATATTACATCTTCTACAGGATACTACAAATTCGAGATACGAGCATTGGTATCTCGGAAACCTTAATAGATACGAAGATGGTTGAATCGGGGCAAAGTTGCGCCTTCGGATGTTCGCCAACAAGCTATCAAAAAAGTTTTAAAAATTTTAAGGATCCCTGAGTTTTTTGAAAAAAAAACGATTACCGAATTTTATTTTTACCTGCCGTTACTTTTAACAAAATCAAAAAACTAATTGCACTTTCTCATAGCCTTTTTAACTTTACTAGATACAGAAGCCAACTTAATTTTTTTAAATACGGATCTGCATTTTTTATTTCAGGTTTTGAAAGAACTCGGCCTCCGGAGTACAATGATATGCCACACTTTATACTTTTTTTTGTTTTGGGTACCTTAACAACAACAAAACTATTATTTAAAATAATTTCAAGTCCGACTCTGGTTTTTTAAATTATTTAATCTGATTATATTCATCGCAACAGTATTAATCAACACTAATTAACATTGAATAAGGAAAATCGAGCCAATTGAAAGATTGAAATATATAATATCAGCGATTTAAAGATATTATTTTCGAGGGGTAAACACATAGGGCAAAAAGTGTACACCTACATCCTCTATCCTTAGTACATCCCCTACATCCTCCAGTACATCCTCGGTACATCCCCTACATCTTCGTACATCCCCTAGTACATCCCCTACATCCTCGGTACATCCACTACATCCCCGGTACATCCTCGGTACATCCCCTACATCCTCTGTACATCCACTACATCCTGGGTACATCCCCGGTACATCCTTTTAGTTCTTATTCATATTATTATCAATCATATAGGTATAGATATCAATCAGAATACCGGGTATTGCAACGGCAGACCGTCTATAGGAAATCCCCTGTAAATTTGAAAGTCTCAGAATATTATCTCCCCCGTTTATTTTAGTGCAAAATTGTATTGCAACACTTTTATGAAGGTCCATATATGATAGACGTACATAAAAAATATGTACCTGTAGCTTACATCGAGGTTTACATTTAGCAGATTAAGATATATTTGGAAACGAAGTTCCCTCAAATTTGTGAAATTTGTAAAATTAAATGTCAATAACGATGTTGTAAAATCATTTGACATATTATTTGTATTCAAATTTCACAAATTTTAGAGGACTTTTTTCCAAAAATATCTTAAACTGCTCATGCTAATGGAAACTATCCATATTTTGTAATTTAATCTGCTGATCTATTATATTTTTTTTTAAAGTAATATAATAAAATCATTGCTAAAAAGTTAGGTGGCACAATTATTGTACTTTTTTCATAGTGATGACGATATCCATTTCTCGATATCCTTCAGGAGATTAATTTTAAACTACTAGTTTTTATCCTAGCTTTTTTATAGCAAAGGTACCTATTATCAATGATTTAACACGCATTGATATTAATATTCTGTATAGGACCAGTGATGATGTTATATGAACGGTGTTCATATGGGATTTACTCAAGGATTTACTGGTGACAATGTTGTGGAGTAACATCATCTTGCTCAAAGCTCATAAATAAGGTAGACTTAGTTTCAAATATGATTGCTTTATTAGATATAAAAAAATCGACACATTGATGTGTTTTTAAATATTTTAAAATATTTTCTTACACAATGTCCCTACACCTACAAAAACTGAAAAACAAGTAAACCTAGATATAAATACAATTTACAAAATATGCAAGTTAAACATTTGGAGTTACATATTTCTTTGTATATATAATAATATTTTACACTATTATGATATTATGCAAAACTAGGTACAGTGAGATGCATTACAATTTCGACACGTGTTTTTGAATACCCGTCGTGAAATAATGTCAAACAATAAATTTTTGAAACATGAATTGTGTCGAAATTCTGACATAAATGAAATCAGTGGTAAGAGCATTAACTTTCTATTTTGTTTATAGTTTATATAATTCTGTCTTGTTATTCTGTTAATCATATTATTCTGTTCAGTTCTAATTCATATTTTAAAGTTCTGGGATTGCTGTGGTATTATGATTATGTAGTAGAGATACGCGGCACCTCGCGCGGCACTGTATTTGACTGAATTGTTTATTGATTAGGATTTGTACTTAATACCGATTGTTATTAAAAACATGTGTCCGAATTGTAATGCTTTTCAGTGTATACACTCATTATGTAAATTAACAAAAGTAAATCATATTACCTAGGAACAATAACGTAACAAACTCAGTCTTATACTCGTACAATGAATAAAAAAGAAAAACATTTAAAAATCCTTGAAAGGAATACAAAAACCTCGATTAAAAAAAACAAAAAGTTAACATTGTTCTCTTTTCAAAAAAAAAAATTATCCTAGGAGGGCTACTTCTTTTGAGAATAGGCAAAAGATATATTTTGATAATCATCATTTTTTAACTGCAAATTCCCGTCCAAATCAGGCGATAAACAAACAGGGCCGAAAAAAATAAACTCTTTTTCGACCTCCGCTGTGTCTGCTTTTTTGGGCCAATAAAAGAAACCCCCATTTTTTTTTTCTTTGAGAAATTTCATTCTGAAAGTTTTTCCCATTTTTGCTTCGATCTCGCCGATGAACCACCCTGAATCGTAGTAAACCGCATAAAATTTGTTCAATTCAACTTCTGGCTCAAGTCTGGAGTCTTGATCTCCATCTTGATCTTGATTTTTTGAGTCTTGGTCCGATCAATGACTGCTGTTATTGCAAAAACTCTCAGTATCACTACTGTCATCATATTGAATATGAGTATCATCCTCCGAAGATGTTTCAGATGAAGAAATTCTTCTACCTCCCTTTTTTTTGTTTTGCCTGGCAATTTCTCTTTTTTTATTATTTTTCGACTGCACTCTGACGATTTTTTTTGTTTTTTTGACACGAGTGTTGTCCGCTTTAGGATTATTTAAAATAAATCGTCTTAGGCGATCCACACTGATTTTTTTTTTCGTCAAGGAGCCAACACAATGAGGATTTTTTTATAACTGCAGATTTATTTCCTATGGTTACCCGAACCATGGGTCCCTGCTCATTTATACCCGCATTATTTCCCTCGACAAACTTCGCTGAAAAATCTTTCATCACAAGTTCTTCTCCTATTCCTGCCGATGAAATGTTGCATAAATCTATAAATAAGCTACTTTCTTGATTATCCAGGTTATCTGAGTTTCCTGACTCAACTGGTAGGGCACTAAGAATGTTTGGTACAGTTTCTTCGTCTACGAAAGTTGCCATATCACTTACCGGGTCCCCGACAACTTCTTCTGTTTGATTGTCGCTTTCATTTTCATCGGTAGGGTTTTTTAATACAGGTATAGATATGATATTCCAACTGTTATCAACAACTTCAATTCCCAAGTCGCACGTAGTTTGTATTGCATCATTTAGAGCATTTAAACTACATTTTATAAACAAGAGTCAGAAAGATCTTGAAATTGTGAGTGTGATTCAGTAGATATTTTTGCCCTTTCTCGAGGAAAAATCACATCTTTAAGATCATTTAAGATATTGTTTACTGCCTTGATCCTTGATCCTTGAGAAAGTGATTGATCTTGTAGCCCGAAACATCTTCTCGCACGTTTGACTAGAAAATAAAGAAGGAAGAAACATGTCTTGCGTAAGAGTGGTATTTTCACGGAAATTGCAAACTAGGTTAATTAATGCATGAGCATTAAGCTCTAAGCAATTATAACAATTGGCTGTTATGAAATTAGCTTCAATTTTATAGTTTGGATGATTTTCAAGCCAGTTTCGCCAAATCCTGAGAAAAAAAACAACATACCAGATATTATATATTCTTCTCTTTATGTCAGAGCCCGTATCTAGATAAGACGATATGGCTAGATGCATTATATTGAAGTAGGCTCGGGTACCTTCACTACCAGCAACATTTTCAAGCAATTTGATTACTTGTAGAGAACATATTTTTTCGGCAGCGGAGAAGTTCATCTTATCCTCAGCTTTTAGGTCTGACATTGACAGTAAATGTTTGTCTTTTGAAAAATCTTCAATTAAACGTTTAAGATGATCCGGGGATGCAACAAAATTACCTATGGGTAAAATAATATTATGCTTTAAAAACCTCGTTCTTAAAATTCTAAATATTTTCCATGTAAGTGCTGTACCCAAATCCAAGCTTTTTGGAGTTATTCTTATTTAAAAATTAGAAAGTGAAAAAAAACATCAGAAAAAAAACTTTTTTAAGAGGATACCGAGGAGGATACCTTCTGGAAAAAGTATTCAAAAGTCAACCCACAAATTTGGATGACTTGAAACATCGCATTCGGCGAACTACGCCCCAAATAATTCGAAATACATCCCCGGTAAATCCTCGGTACATCCTCTACATCCTCTAGTACATCCTCAGTACATCCCCTACATTCTCGGTACATCCCCTACATCCTCTAGTACATCCTCGGTACATCCCCTACATCCTCGGTACATCCCCTACATCCTCGGTACATCCCCTACATCCTCTAGTACATCCTTGGTACATCCACTACATCCTCGGTACATCCCCTGGAAATCCTCTCATGTGTACACCATAAATCCCTAAGTGTTCACCCCTCGATTATTTTTAACTTTTTTTATTGTGAATTTGAAATCTAATTGTGCGATCTAATAATATGCATAATAATCGTAGTTGTTAAAAATAAATCAACTTCTAGTAATCAACTAGTTTCTGCTCTACATGTTCGAAAGGGTTACTACCTTCCCTATTGCACAAATTTTATTTATAGCTCTTTGAACATATCTTCTTATACTTCAGAATGCATTTTGTACTCTTTATTATAAATATTGAAAAATATTGATTTCTTTTATTTTACAAATGACGTCAAGTAATGCCCCTTCCCCTCCCCTCCCCTTGGCGACAGGTCCAGGAACCTCGCTGGCCATTATACTGCTCTATCATTTCCAATCCATTTTTCGTGGAAATGATTTGATTGTTTATATTATATTTATATTATTTATTTTAT